CCAAAACATTGTGAGGAGATGATAATGGGACCTCAGAAACCAAAACATTGTGAGGAGATGATAGTGGGACCTCAGAGACCAAAACATTGTGAGGAATTTCCAAGTTCGTTTCAGCATCCAGGATAACATGCTTAACTTGAGTTTCTTGTTCCTTGTCAAGATCAGACCGTTCTGGAGATATAGATACAGCTTCACAAGGAAGAAGCTCTTTGTTTTCGTTAGAGCATGTATCTGATTCTCTATCAACATTTGGTGTCACTATATCCTGTGTCCCATCATTCTCAGAGACTAACATTGATGATGGAGTATTCTCCTCTATGTTCTTATGACGATCTGGATGATTAACAGTTTCAGGCATGCCTGGAAAAATCAGCAAGGAGAAAAGAAACCATCAGTATCTCAGTCTGTCAAGTTTTTTCACTTCCAATAAAAAGTAATCAGGCAGATGTTAGCCGTAGAATACATTAGCAACTAACTGAACTGATACATCAGTATTACTAATCCTGTATATAAACAACTAAGAGTTGTACTGAACTAGAAATAGGCTTACAAGGATTATCCTCTTGAATATCTCTGAGATATGGAAGCATTCTTCTGTAATTAACAGAACCTGGTGTTTTAAATAACTTACGCCGAGAGCATGCCTGTTTCATGTCAAAAAGAAACTCATGTTGGACAAAGCAAAACAGGAAGTTTATATGGCCAACATGAAAGGATCCTTAAAATAAGCTAGAAGAAGAAAGATAGAATCTTACAGATTTCTTGTTGGGGCTGGACACAATAACCCTCTTCAAAGGACTGGTGTTTCCACACAAGCTTCCAGCTGAATGTTGATTAACGACCCTGTCCACAGATTGCAAAACAGGTTCGGTGGTTTCAGGAAGTTGACACTTGGCTGTCATCATTTCACTTACTCCCTCCTTTGGATCTTCAGGAGTTTCCCCAGTTTCTTTGTCACAAGACAAATTTATATTTGGAGGATTCTGGCCAAAAGATTTCTCAGGTTTTGAACACCGGCCTGAAGATGTTCCATCTGTAGATACAATTGGCAACATATCAAATTCCAGCTTCCTCAGGTCACAAACTCGGTACAATCACATCAGTTTCACTTTTGATGCACATAAACCAAGATTGGATTAAAAGAAGCAAATAAAATACCATCTGCAGCTTGCATCAAGTACGGAAGCAGTCTCTTGTAGCTGAAGGATCCAGGGTTGTTGAATATCTTAGCTCGAGAACATGGATGAAGAACCTGTAGGAGTACACCGCAACGAGAAGCAAATCAAGCAACCACCAAAAGTAGAGAATCACAGAAGCTTAAATATATCATTTAGCAAAGAGCCGCAAGAACGCATACCGATTTGCTACAGAAATTAGTACCCCTTTCCTTCACAGCTTGTACATTGATCTCTTCACGGATAAGCTCGGTGCTTAAGAATTCTGGATCATGTGGTGTGGCTTGTAGAGAGTCTTCTGTTTCGCCATTTCCTAAACCACCACCATTGGTTTTGGTTCCTTCTTTCTCAACTACTTTACCAGCAAAATCAAATCATCATCGTACCAGAAATTGCTCAAAATCCAGATAATACAATAGATACCAATCTGCAGAATCACAAAGATCAAGAAACTTACAGTTCGAACTCCGGGATGCGCAAGGATATTCCTCAATTTGTTCCACTTTGGTTTTAAATTCCCAGTCGGTGGGGATCGAAGTCGGAGAGAAGACGCGTCTGAGACGCAGATCCTTGATGGTGACACGAGGATAAGTCCGAATGATTTTCGACTCGATTTTACCGATGAAAGATGGCGATTGCTTGACCTTAAATAAGTTTCCGGTGTGAGATACGGCGGCTGCGATTCGGCCAGAGCGGTCTCTCTGATTCAGTGATTTGCCTGTCGTGAGGATCTCACTAGCTGAAGAAGACGAGAATCGCATCCTCTTCCGAGTCATCTGATTTGTTTCCGCCATAGCTAAAAACCTTCGTCGCAACACT